ATATAGCAAGTCAAGTATTTATATGTCATTGCTTAAATAAGGAAAATAGTAAAAACACGCAAGGTCTCATTCGTTGCAATCGTATTCAAAAAAGAATGCGAAATCAATGTTGTTAAACAAGTTGCTGAAACCCATTTATTTTAAAGTGTCGGAATACCATACGTACACACTCATCTTGTTTCACTGTCGACGTCAGTCGGTTCGTCGTCTTGTCGTAACGAGGTCTCACAGCAGCATCAGCCGCTCCGCTGCGCCGATAGCATTTGCTTCATTTGTTTCACTGTTTCATAAAGCCCTTTGCTTCACACGCTGTTGTACGCCAGTAATATTTCACAGTGCTGTCGCTCCACTGCGCTCGCTCATTACGATCGTTGTCGAATAAAAATAAGTTGCGCAAAAGATTTGCACTGAACGCGTTCCTTTCTAATCACTCGTGCGTTAATCACACAGATCCGTTGCGTATTGAAGATTTTTTATTTCTAGGATTTTGATTAAATAGGGGTAACATAGCAACTTCTAAAGTGGGCGAACGTCGTCTCTCCTGGAGTGCCCGAGGACAGAAAGAGACGGCGTGGATGGCCGCGAAGGCGTTGGCGGGACGTTCGTGATGGGTTTGAGAGAGAAGATGGAGGATTTTGGGGGAGACCTTAGCCCAGCAGTGGGACATAATAAAATAACTAAAAAAAGGGTATCTCAAGCACAGTACACAGTAAAACAGGACGAGTGTGGTATCGAAAGAGTATCCGTGTTAGGCCGTTGCGGCGTCGCGAAGTGGAGAATGGCCCAAGCACGAACATCAATCCTGCGTCGCCTTTACTACACGAAAACGTATACTACACTTAAACGGAATCTATCAGTAGCACGAATCTCCACGAATCACTCTGGTTAACTCGATAGGTAAACGCTCGTATTGACAGAATGGTACGGGCAGGTACCTAACACTAATAACAAAAAAAGGCAGGTACTTCAAAAGAATAAGACCCCTTGGAATTTGCTCTGTATATTTTAATTTATTTAAATAGTTTAAGTATACTTATAGTTTTAATTTTACATAAATGGTGTTAGTATATATGCCAGTGAGTGTTGGCTATAACAAATTTTCAATAGCACTTTTCTCCGTATCAACACAATCACAACCTCTCAGAACTACCGCTTTGTATCACATCACTTGGGACCTGGAAAACTTGTTTGCTGGCCATGGATGCTGTTGAAGTTAGTGATACACTTCAAGATCTCACTTAATTTTTTCACTCTCGCATGGAGGACTTTGAAAAGGCCGTTCAGCAGCACACTATTTCATTGGTCCCTGCTGCCCAGCTACAAACGGTTAAAGCCTTATCTGCAGACTATCAGCAGTTCAAAACATTTATAGTAAATGCGGTCAAAACATTGAAAATGCAGCTGGATCTTCTCCACACAGGTATGGATCGTCTGGAGACCCATTCTAGGCGTAAGATTTTGTTGCTTCATGGTTTACCAGAGGACAATAAAGAGAACGTTGCTACTAGGGTGCTTGAAGTGCTAGGCGGTAGAATGAAGCTATGCGAATTCGAGAGTGCATAGAGACCGACTAGGGACCGCTAAAAAAGAGCGTACTCGCCCTGTGCCAGTCCGTTTTGCGACTTATAAAAGTAGATCTGTATGGAAGGCCAAAACAGCGTCAATATGATTTTTCGTTCTAAAATTTTTGCTTCATAATTTTTTTTATTTATTTGTTTTAGTAACTTTGGATTAGAGTACTTCATTCAGTAGAAATATCAATGTGACGTTTCCTTCTAAAGTATAAACTGATAATTAAAAATATTTTTTTTTCTTCGTAACTATGTTATATATTTAAGTAATCCAGTCGAAATATTAAGGATATTTAAACATAAAGTCCAGTTAAGAATTATAACTTTATAGCTATGATGATTTTGTTAGTGTTGTTAGTAAATAAATTTATTTGCCTTCACCGTTATTGTGTTGCCAACTCTCGCTGGTGATCTAATTATTATTATTTATTTTTTTTGTTGCTCTTCATTTTGCTTATTTATCTTATTTGTAGTATTTTGGTGTATACATATTTTGTTTTATTACTTATAATTTACATATTTATTAATTTATATTTATGTCTATAAACTCCAGTTATTTTACCGATAGCTCATCTGATATATTTGAAAGTGCATGTAGTGATTTTTCTATTTCTTCTGACTCCGATGGGCCTTCACTAGATGTTAAGCTGCGGTCAATGTTTCATGGGAAATCCAATTTCTTGAACCTGGTGCATATTAACGCGCAAAGAATCCCTGCACACATCTCCGAATTAAATATGTCATTCAACAACGGCATAGTTGATGGAATCTTAATTTCAGAATCTTGCTTAAACCTTCTCTGCCATCCCCCCTTTTTTCACTCAATTGGTATAAATTATATCGTAACGATAGAGTTGGGACTGGTGGTGGTGGTGTATATATTTACATCAATAACCACATCCCGTGCTCCATTGTCAGCCAGTCTTCTAACACTTACACTAGGTCTTTGGAGTATCTGTTTCTGGACGTCCGCTTACACCACACCAATATCTTAGTAGGTGTTACTTATAGCCCTAGTATTAATGTAAATTATTTTGAGTTATTTGAGACAACCCTTGAATCCTTGAGTGCCTCTTACGACTATGTAATAATGATGCGTGATCTTAATACTTGTTTCTTAAAGAATAACTTCCGTTCCTCACGTCTAAACTCCCTTGTATCTGCAGTGAAGTTTGTATTGCTCCCACACACTGCCACCCATCATTTCCCCAATTGTCAACCATCACTTTCAGATGTCCAGATAGTTTCGAAATCAGAGTCAGTGCTTTTGCATGGACAAACCACTGCCCCATTCTCGTATCATGACCTCATATATTTATCTTACCGAGCTTGGGAGCTATTTGCTAATTGGTAGCGTTTGTGTGGATCGTTTGAGAGAGGATTTTTCTAATATTGTCTGGTCTGCACTGATTGAAGCTAGCACGGTAAATGAGAAGATCAAAATTTTTAACAATCTGTTAATAAAGCTGTATGACTCTCATGCCCCACTCAGACCAGTGCGCGTTAAGCATCTGCTTGCGCCTTGGCTTACACCATCAATAAAGAAAATCATGAAACGTAGGGACAAGGCCAAGTCGATCCTTAAGAGGTTTCCAGGTGACGATAATTTGCTTTCCTATAAACGGCTGCGCAATCTCTGCAACAGACTGTGTCGTGACGCCATTGGCGTTACATCCATTTGTCGATGGAAGGCTTGTCTATGAGTCAAACCTGGAAGTTCTTGAGATCACTTGGTGTGGGTAGAGATCGTGACTGTACCGTTGACTTACCTGATCTGAATTCACTCAACAAATACTTTACCAACTCACCACTTACAGTTGCTGACTCTATCAAGGCTTCCACGCTCACCTCTATGGGCACTGTTACTCGTCGAAAAAGGCTCATAAGCATATGAGCCTTTTTCTTTCCGCGAAGTCACTGAGGGGGAAGTTAAGAAGAGTATCCTATCCATTACTTCCAAGGCCGTGGGTGAAGATGGCATTTGCCGTAATATGCTGATACCTATCCTGGATGACGTTACATCAATTATCACACACATTATGAATTGTTCACTTGCAACTGGCATCTTTCCTAGCGGCTGGAAATTAGCCCATGTCATTCCCATTCCTAAATCCGCTACTCTCACGGCTTTCTCCCAATTTCGTCCTATCTTCATCCTGCCATTCCTGTCCAAGGTCCATGAAGGCACTGTTCATAAACAACTTTTCTCATTTGTCTCTCGTTATGACCTTATAAGTCCATATCAATCCGGTTTTCGTCCTGGTCATAGCACAGTAACTGCCAAAGTACTTAACGTCACGGACGATGTTCGCCACGCCATGGATAACCGATTGTTTAGCGTTATTGTGTTACTGGACTTCAGCAGTGCTTTCAACTCTGTCGACTATGACATCATTCTTGCCATTCTCTGCTCTCTTAACTTCTCCCATGCTGCAATCCCTTGGTTTTCAGACTACCTCCGCAATCGCCTTCAAAGGATCAAGCATGATGACACTTATTCTGAATGGTCTCCTTTGACTTCAGGGGTGCCTCAGGGTGGTGTACTTTCACCTCTTCTCTTCTCGCTGTTCATAAATGAACTCACAAAACGAATAACTTCTACGTTCCACTTATACGCTGATGACGTGCAAATTTATAGACACTTTTATGTAGCTAATACCCTATCTGCCATTGAAGCTATTAATAAAGATCTTCTTGTGGCGAAGTCTTGGGCTGATGCGTTTGGTTTGCTTATAAACCCAACGAAATCGCAAGCAATAATCGTAGGTAGCAACAGACTTTACTGTAGGTTGGATATTGATAATCTCCCCAAGGTTTCGTATAATGGAGTGAGTCTTGCATATGCTGATAATGCAAAGAACCTGAGTCTGATAATCGATCATACACTGTCTTGGAGACCGCAGGTAAATGAGGTTAGTCGACCCATGCATTTTTCCTACCATTCTCTCAAGCGGCTTCAATTCTTCTTGACGTTCAATACCAAGGTTATGCTTGCTCAGTCTTTACTACTTACTTGTATATATATATATATATATATATATATATATATATAATATGTGAGTATTATATATATATATATATACATATAATACTCACATTAAATTTTAATTTTATTGTACAATAATTAGTCCCGCAGACTTCATTTTTCACCTAGGCTAGGGATGGCTGGAAGAGATCTCACGAAGAGAGAGATAAGCTCACCTTTATAACTTGTGCTCCATGTATATTTTCTTTGTGCAATAATTTATTTTATTTATATATAATATATGTTATAATATATGTGTTATAATATATGTTATTATTACTAATGTAACATGATAAGTCAATTCGTATTATTCTAATTATATTAATTTTTAACAAATTAAAAATATATATGTCGGAGAAACATGGTTTTCGTCGATATTGTCATCAACGGTTGTAAATTTAGTGGGCGTCATCAGGGTAAAATGCGGGCACAAACAACAATGATCACAGTTTCAGACTATTTTAATTTAACACTTTCACACATCAAGTTGGTAGACTAACGGTTAGGACCGAGCAGTGGGTTCAAGGCACCGATCTTACTTAAAACCGACTTTATTTAACACTCGCAACGATAACGATCCAACCCGATCGGTTGCTACCACTCAAAAACGTCTCAAAAGTTGTTGGCTTCACCAAAGTAAAGATGGCGCCTCGACCCCACTCGAGGCACATGCTCTGCTCTGATTGGTCGTTACGTGAATTACAATATTCATGACTTTCATTGAATAACAAAGGTTTATGTAAAGTAAAAAAATGTAACAAATCAAATTAAGTTAAATAAAGAATTTTAAAAGTAATCAGAATATAGACAAATAGTATTGCGCGATAAACGTGCAAACAACAATCAACTCGACTATTCACTTCCTCCGACACGGCCGTCCTGACGTGTTACACGCCCTCGTGTGATGTTGATGGCCGTGCATCCTCGTTATCTGCGGAAAATGAAAAGAAATTGTAGTATAGTTCGGCCACTCCTGACCAAGGAGATCATACACAGTCAGTCTTCTGCACAACAGCTCCTTTAAGATATTTTCATTAATTAAGTTTCAAATTAATTTGAATAGTAATAGACTCCAAACTTCATTCTAAATTAAGTCAATACAATAGGATACAAACAGCCACCTCGCCGTTTATCGCATTACACGTTTGGAAGTATTAAAAATGGCCACCTCGCCCATCATTGGCCACCTCGCCTATCATTGGCCACCTCGCCTATCATTTGAATTTAACTAAACCTTTACAACCACCACCCTGCTGGGATGTCTTTAAAAATAGAGAAACTTTATTAGTCACACACACAAAAACATTCCAACAACTAAACGTCTTAAACAACGACACTAGTGCGAAGATCTTACCATCGCTGTCATCCGACAGACATGGATCCAGCTCGGTTGGGACATAGGATTGAGGGAGTGGACGTAAGCGGTCTCTCGCGTACTTGTATGTACGGTTACAATTTAAGCTCTTGAGATGATACCTGTCGCCGTCTAGTATTTCAATGACCTCATAAGGTCCTTTATATTTTGGATCCAATTTGGTTTGATTCCGTTCGTGATTTTCTAATAAAACGTAATCCCCTACAGAAAAAGAAGTCACTTTTGCCTTACTTTTATCAAATCGTGCTTTTTCAAGACATGCGCTATTTTCCATTAACCTATTAGCTTGCTCTCTAATCTCTTCTACATCTATCTCAACCTCGTGATCGTCAACTGTTAATAAATTTAAGGGTCTAGCTACTCTACCTATTAACAATTCCAGGGGGCTTGCTTTAGTTACTCTATGAATTGTACTATTTATGGAAAGTTGGACGTCATCTAATGCATCTTGCCAGGACCTACTTGGGCTTGCCTCTACGACAGTTAACATGTTTTTGAGCGTACTCATTATACGCTCCACTTGGCCATTAGCACGACAAGAGGCGGTCGCTATTAGATGTAGTTGAATATTGTGACTGGTACAAAAATCTTTAAAGTTTTTATTCGCGAAACATCTACCCTGATCTGTAATAACACGCACAGGGGTTCCAAAAAGAGATACAGACGCTTTGAGAGCGCTAATCGCACTTTCAGTGTCGATTCTTGTAGAATGCCTAAGTAACACGTATTTTGTAAAAGCGTCTACAAGAACGAAGACGTATTCTTTTTGATTATTTTTGCCACTGAGTTTACCTGTGGCGTCAATGTGAATAGTATGCCAAGGGATATTAACTTTTGGTATGGGGTGTAACTCTATCTGTTGCTTACCACTGCCCGACTTAGCTACTCTACACGTTATGCAATTTTCTACGAATTTTCTGACGTATTTCGACATATTGGGAAACCAATAGTGTTGATATACCTTTTCTAAAGTTTTATCCCATCCCAAATGGAGAATAGACTCGTGAATGTGATTTATTATAGACCAACGAAAAGCTCTAGGTACAATTGGTAGCCAAATGTTGCGACTGTTTCTTTGGATTTTTCTGTAGAGCACATTAGATCGCAATTCATAGATTTTACAACTCTCTAGGTCTAGATCGTCGCTCTCAAGTTTACTTATAATTTCATTGTACTCGGGATCTCGTCGTTGCTCTACTTGTAACCAATTGGAAGATAACTCAGCTATATTGACGCGCTTTTCTCCTACATGGTTTTCTCTACCTAAGCTATGAGTATCGCGAACGGCGGTGTCAGGCAAGTGATTTCTTGAAAAAAAATCAACGTGGGCCATTCTTTTGCCCTCCCTGTACTGTATGTCGAAATCAAAAGCCTGCAGAAAAGCCCACCATCTGTGCACTCTAGGGGTAAGGTCTACTTTAGTTCTGGAGGCCTTCAGAGAATTGCAGTCAGTGAAAACTGTGAAAGTTCTGCCGTACAAATAATGGCGAAAATGCTTAACAGAGTTTACAACTGCTAGAGTCTCTAACTCATAAGAGTGGTATCGAGACTCCGCTTGGGTAGTGCGTTTACTGTAATACTCCACCGGATGTAATTTCGTGCCAGATTTTTGAAAAAGGATCGCACCGTAACCTTCGCTACTAGCGTCCGTGTGTAGCTCTATAGGTAGTTCTGGATTAAATAACATCAAAACCGGAGATGAAGTCAATACAGAAATTATGTCTTGTCTAATTATTTCGTGCTCTGTGGTCCAATTTATTTTAGAATTATTGTTAGCTAGTAGACGGTAGAGCGGTGCCATTTTAATTGAAAAGTTATTGACAAACTGCCTGAAATAAGATGCTAAACCCAAAAATTGTCTAAGCTGAGTTATTGTCTGTGGTGGTAGGGAACTAGTCAACGCGTTTATTTTACGGGGATTAGGCCTAATTTCACCCTCCGATATTTCATACCCCAAAAACTGAACCTGTTTCTTTAGAAAAGCGCATTTTTTCATATTGAATGAAAATCCAGCATCACTTAGAGTTTTTAGTACTACGCGTAACCGTTCCAGCCCTTGCTCTATACTATTCGCGGGTATAACTAGATCATCCATGTAAACGATTGCGTATGAGTGTGCTAGGTCACCTAAAGCTGTATTGATAGCTCTCTGGTACACAGAGGGAGCGTTTCGTAGACCAAACGGCATGGCAGTAAACTCATAATGAGCATCCGGGGTAATAAATGCGGTCTTTTCTATTGAATTTGACCTTACATTTATCGGAACCTGATAAAATCCACTAGCCATATCAAGACACGTATAAAGTCGCGCGCCTGATAACCTTTGAACTTGATCACCGATTAAAGGTAAGGGGTACCGGTCGGGGACCGTATTAGAGTTTAATTCTCGGTAATCTACGCACATTCGGTCTGTGCCATCGCGCTTCTTCACTAAGAGTATTGGGCTAGAGAAGGGAGACTTGCTTGGCCTGATAACTCCAGCTGCTAATAGTTCACTACATTTATTCCGTACTATTATTCGCTCTTCAGGGCTCAAGTGATAAGGCCGCCGTTGCACAATTTTACTAGGATCTAATAAATTGATTTCTAATTCGCCTGTCTTTACTCTACTAGTAGGTGTGCCCCCAACAAATGAATTTTTAAAACAACTAAGGAGTTCTATTAGTTGTGGTTTTAGGTCATCAGGCATGTCAGTATCCACGTCATGAAAATCAGTAACTGCGTTCCCTACGCTGCAAAGTTTGACTGAGGAGGGCTTCTCAACTATAGTAAGATTATCACTTGTTATGTGAACCGATAACCCTAACGCTAACAAATCGCGTCCAATCAGAATATCGTTATTGAGATAATCATCAGATATAATGTGAAATAAAATTTCTACGTCATGACCACTAAGAACGACCTTAGATAAAATTTGTGAGTCACATAACACACTACATTTACCTACACCAGTTAAAGTAACAATTGCATGTTGCAATGTACCGACAAGTTTACGAGAGACACTCTCTTTAATTAAGGAACAATCAGCACCGGAATCAAAGCAAAATGAAAACTGCTCACCAAATTGCGTAATTATCCCGGTGACAGGTTTCATTCCACACACATCCACTCGCTTTACAACACTGGGCGCGGATGCGGGCTGTGCGCTATTGCTCACAGTTGGCCAAGCTTTTATGCACCGCGATGCAACATGACCCTCAACACCACACTTGTAGCAGGTCACAGGGGCCCGCGCAGTAACGGCCGTGTTGGGGCGTTCAGAAGTCGGAGTTGGTTGCTGCTTGTCATGTGATCGGCTGAAACATTCAAAAGATTTATGGCCAAGTTTTCCACAAACGTAACATTTAGTTGACGCAGAACTTAACCTAGGGCGTTTAGCATCTTGCGTAGTGCTTGCTGCGTTCTTTGTCAGCTCTTGGGAGCTCCGCTTGCGGTAAGAAAAGGCCATTAGTTCACGTTGCATTTTACAGCGGGTAGTTATTTCTTCAGAGAAAATATTTCGCTGTAATCGTGGCTCAATTTGCCCCATGTGCGCAAGTATTAAAGATACCACCACTTCTTCCTTGCCTAATTTATCCCATCGCGACATGAGTAAAGTAAATAAACGGCTAGCGTATGCAGCAAGACATTCACTTTCTTGCGGTTTGCCAGTAAGCATCTTTAATACCGTCGCCGCACATGTTTCTAACGTATCGAAGCGAGAAAGAAAAATATTCTTAAATTCTACCCACTTCATATTAGGAAAAGCTATCTGAGAAAACCAAATTGCAGCTGAGCCTTTCATAGCCTTACTAAGTATAAGAATTAATTTACTTCCCTGTATGTCACGATCCGATAAGCAAATGTCCGCGGTTGCCAGCCAGGCCCGAGCGTCTGTGTCTGCATCTTCTGGTTGAAATTTAGGCAGTGTGATGCTCTTATCTTCGATATTCGGAGGGTTGGTTAGCGCCTCCACAAGTAGCCTAATGCTGGTTTGTTGCGCTTCGAGTAACGCACGCCATTCATCATTTGCTGGTGTCTGCATGCTCACGTTTTGTGCTTGCACCGGCCCCGCTTCTGATGTCGGAGAAACATGGTTTTCGTCGATATTGTCATCAACGGTTGTAAATTTAGTGGGCGTCATCAGGGTAAAATGCGGGCACAAACAACAATGATCACAGTTTCAGACTATTTTAATTTAACACTTTCACACATCAAGTTGGTAGACTAACGGTTAGGACCGAGCAGTGGGTTCAAGGCACCGATCTTACTTAAAACCGACTTTATTTAACACTCGCAACGATAACGATCCAACCCGATCGGTTGCTACCACTCAAAAACGTCTCAAAAGTTGTTGGCTTCACCAAAGTAAAGATGGCGCCTCGACCCCACTCGAGGCACATGCTCTGCTCTGATTGGTCGTTACGTGAATTACAATATTCATGACTTTCATTGAATAACAAAGGTTTATGTAAAGTAAAAAAATGTAACAAATCAAATTAAATTAAATAAAGAATTTTAAAAGTAATCAGAATATAGACAAATAGTATTGCGCGATAAACGTGCAAACAACAATCAACTCGACTATTCACTTCCTCCG